TAGGTCCATATGCCCTCAAGCTCCAACAATCCTCCGTCCGCTTCCCCCTTAGACTTACACACAAGCATGCTTCTCTCTATCAAAGCAGGCTGCACCCCCACCCCCGGCGCATGCTCTTGATAACTGACAGCAGCTGCATTGATGAGCACAATGCACGGGCCAAGGCAGCTCAGCTGGCCTCACTCCCCACTTGACACTGGTTTGACCTCTGGCATGTGAGTCTTCCTCCCCGAAAGATGCTCTTCCTATAGCCTGACACAGTCTGTCTATCTCCTTTACCCACACTCACACAGACAGAAGCACGACACACACCCAGAAACGGGTGCATCCTGAGGTTAGCTGGGTCAATTAAATTTAAACCAAGGATAAATGATTTGTAAATCATGTACAGATAAGGAATTAATGGACAATAGAGTTAGCAGCAGTGCTGCTTTCATTTTCACGTAAAAAAGTACTCACAGCAAGCATCCGTAGGTGTTTCTTCCAATGACCCATAGTAAGGAAGTAATTCTCAAGCAATCTTTATTTCATTACTGCCTTTGAAAAACCAAGTCACACTGTGCTTCACAGGTGAACATAAAATATAATACCAAAAGTTGCATAACTGGTGAAGCATTGAGAAAATAAACAAAGATTTTGAATAAAAAAGAATAAAACCATAGTTTCAAGGAGTTGTTATGTACACTTCTTGCCATATACTCATACATACTTCCATATGCGCACAAGGAGCATCAGCAGTGTATCCAGTACGAGTGAGCATGAAAGGCTTGTAATAGCTCACCTCCCTAGGGGACTGATGACACCAAGGAAACCAAACAGAAGCTGATGGTATGACAGAAGAGCTGGGGAGGGCGTGCTCATCGCTTCCCCTCCACCATTGTGCTCCTTTACAACTTTACAAAATAGCCTTTTAATTTGCTGCAGCGTCTGGGGTGTCTGAATTGTGCCAGCATCAATCACCATCATCACCAGGGCCGTAGGCACTCCGTCCCTTGGGCCCTCTCACTGAACGGCCCCCAAGGCAGATCACTCTGTCTTCCCTCATACAGGCTAGGTTTCCCAATCTGTGCGATTGCTTGCACTACCTCACAATCATGCAAACAATGTGATGCTGTTTGAACCCTAACATTTGCTCCACTCGACATCACTCAAATTTTGACCAGCCTTTGATACTCCAGTGTTGTGCATGAGAGGAAAAAATCTAAATACAAATGACACTGGCTTGAGCATGAGATTTCATTGGTTAGTTTTCACTGGTTTTTACTTTAAGAAAATCTATCAAATTTCTCTTTTTCCAAAAAAAAACAAAACAAAAGAGAATATTTACATTACATTAATATATATATAGACTATTTTTTCTATAAGGCTTCAAGATTTGGCTTGCGAAATTACCCCCATGGTGGAAAATGATATATCAAGACAGTGCCAGGGTAAAACACACTTCTCTGGGTTTGTTTTGGGGGTTTTTGTTTTTCTTTTAAGTATTTGAGGTTAGTTGGTTAAAACTAGAGAAGGTACTTTAACAGAAACTGATAATAAACATTTTTTAAACTGTTTAAAGATCAGTGCTTCATGAAACCTGGCTTGTTAGGCATGTTAGGGATAGAGCCTGATACAAAAACCTAATAATACCTCCTCCTACACAATGTTCAGTTTGGGTGCAAATGATTCAAAGAAGTGTTGGCTCAGATCGGGATTTCTTACGTGGTTTACTAATATACATGCATGGCTGATGGAAAAGTTCTTATATAGTGCTTGATATGTGTTGTACATGTCTTATTTACTTTTTCTAAGTCCAAGTGTTTTGCTGCAGTACCCTAACCTATCAAGGTGAACTAACAAATAGAGATGCCTTTTTAGTAACAGACTGCAGTATCGTGATTGGATTAAACTTAAATTGTCCACAGAAGACAAGAAGGGCATTAGGAGAGGGATTTCATCTGCTACTAGTGTGTGTGTGTGTGTGTGTGTGTGTGTGTGTGTGTGTGTGTGTGTGTGTGTGTGTGTGTGTGTGTGTGTGTGTGTGTGGTGTGCTTGTAGTTTTTATTACCTTAAAGCGTTGCAGACCTATATAGGTTTTTATGTTTCTATCTATTATATTAAGTATATTGACTCTACATGTAATGAAATGTTCTATATAAAATAGAACTGACATTGACACTGACAATTATGTAGACTGAGACAGCTTCTCTTTGTTGTTCTAATAAATGTCAGCTGAGTAGTGTAAATGTTCAGTTAGGCTGTTGAGCTAAGTTTCACAACTTTGGAATTGTTCTTTTAAACTAAGCCTGTCCATCCATATTCTCTTCTGCTTATCCTTGTCAGGGTCACAGGGGTGGGGCTGAAGCCTATCCCAGCTACCATAGGGCAAGTGGCAGGGTATAGCCTGTCCAGATCGCCAGCCTGACGCATGGCTAACATAGACAGATGCACAATCGCACTCACATTCACACCTACGGGCAATTTAGAACCACCAAATAACCTAATCCCACTGACTGCATGTCTTTGGACTGTGGGAGGAGACGATATCCCCCATAGAACTCACACAGACACGAAGAGAACATGCCCGCTCCACACAGATAGGTCCTGGAAAGGTGGTGGAGTGGAACTCAGGACCTTCTTGCTGTGATTTATTGAATTCATTGACAGATGGACGGTTGGCTAGAGTCCATCTCTTCTTAACTGAACTCTACATATAATCCCTGTTCTAGTGCTAAGGCCAGGCAGTTATCATGATGTCACTTGTGAGCTGTTCTGACTGAACAAAGCAGACCATTAAGCACCATTCAGCATAGGTACCAAAATGGTAAAGTTATCCCGCTTCACATTAGGAATCTCTTTAATCTGCAGATATGCTTGTCATGCCTTATTGTGTGCTGCATAGTATTTTCTTTATGTCTGTCACTTCCCATTCTGCCACTGCCTAGTCAGTTTTAATTGACTTTAATTAGCATCTAGTAATTAATTTTGTTTTCTACAAATTATTTGTATGAGTGGTCCCAGTGGGTGGCCTTGTTCATCTCGTTAGGGCCAATTAGCTGCAATTAACAACCACTAATGACTTGCTTTTTTCATTCCAAAACAAACAGTGCACACCCTGGCAGATTCCAACACTGCACAGAGACCTCTTGTGTGTATAAGTGGTGCTGGGGCCAAATGATGGGCCAGGCCTCTAATCAACACCTTCCCTGGAGAAACCAAACTCACTAAGGAAACATGTATCCAGCTTCCAGCTTCCCTCTGGTCTTTTTGTTGTCAGCCACTATTACACCAAAGCTTCTGGGAGCAAACTTACTAACAGAATAAACTTATGAGAAATCTTTATTTAGTTTAACAGTTCAAAACTTGTGAAAACTAATTTATTGTTGAGTGGGTGCTTATTTTTGCTTTTAAAATAATAATAAAAGTAATAATAATAAATCACATACTTACAGTGCCACTGAGAGACTGTCCTTTCTGCACTGTGACTACGTCTTACTTGCAATGTTTTGAGGCCATCTTCGTATATGGTTTTGTGTAAAGTGTAAGGCCTGATGAGTGAATCAGCTGATAAATTCATAATTTAAAACACATCCTCTTAATTAATCAGCATTTACAGTTTATCAATAAGACCACAGCCTGAAAATAGTGATAACGATTCACGATATGCTACAAATCTGCTTTATGCACACAATTCTAGCATTAGATAGGCCCTTTAATCCCTTGATTTTAATTCCGTACACTAAGTAAATGTGAACATAGTTTGTTCACTGAATCAATAATAACCCCCTACTCCCCATCACAATTCTGCTTGATTGACTGGTTGTCAATAACTGAGATCCACATTAGTTGTTCTAAAAGCAGAATTTTAAAGTAATGACTTTAAGTGTCAAAGAAAATGTGGAGACGGTAACGTTGTAAATCAATACAGTGGACTCTGATAAAAATGACTGATAAAATTACGAGTTGTAAAACGTCAGGCGTGATGTGACCTTGCTCAAAAAGAAGAAAAAAGTCAAGAGAAAATCCGAAGTGTGGCTTTAAAAACGAAATGTTTTTTTTTAAAAAGAAGAAGTTGTTTTTTTTAATCTTCAAACAATATATATATATATATATATATATATATATATATATATATATATATATATATATATATATATATATATATATATATATATATTTATATATATATAGCTCAACCTACATATCGGGACATCGGATATCAGGGCCCAGCAGAACCCGAAGCTTGTATGAGAAAATGCGCTATCTTCGTCCCCAGTGTACCAACATGGTGAGATAGCATCTATAAGAGGCAGCCTATCGCCACAGATTATAACCATTAGTGTTCCCAGTCATTTCAATGCAATGAAGAATAATGCAGGGCCACAGCGTCGGTCTGTGTGAAAAGACTGTGTTGAGCACGTCCTCTCCCCACAGCCTTCTGCTGGGATAGACCTGCTGATCATTTGTCACCTGCCACTGCTTCAGTCAGACTTATTCTCCGGCCTTTTCCAAAGGAAATCATTTATTCACGTGACATTATCACGGCCTCTCAGCACTCTATTCTACAGAGGAAATGTATATCAGTCATAAAAAAGACTATTATTGTAAAGTGAACCACTTTCCTTATTATTTTATATTATTTATTCGTAACTATAATTTCTTTTAAATATTAGTTTGAGCTTTTCTTTTTAGTTTGCGGTGTTAACATTAGACATCCGTCACTAAAATCTGCTTTTAGAAAATTTATTTTTAACAATTTTCCAAGAAATAAAAAGGCTTTAAAACATATTGAGGTTTCCTGTAGTTTTTACCGCCACATTTCTATTTCCTTTTATTTTATTTTGTAACCATGATGCTTCACCTCTGTAATTTAAATAGTTATTTGTGGCGGACTGAAATGAAATCCCCTCATCCTCCACCCCTGAAGCTGACGTCACAGGTTTGTTAATAGGCAATAGGCTGAGCTCCGCTAGGTGAGCTCATTACAGCGTCTCTCTCAGAGAGAGCTCGTCAGAGGCAAAATGGGACACATATGACCACACTAAGCGCACAGACAGCATTTTATTGTTGTTCGTTCTTCTTCTCCACTTTAGCCAACTGCGGATTTTTCGCAGTGAATGATTTTAATATTTATGAATAGCTTTCTTTTTTTTATGTCCTGAAATCGCACACCTCGGATCATCTTCACGGCCCGCTATGATCTCCAGTCAGTGATTATTATATATACATATTTTTTTTAAATACCAGTTTGTCTTCAACTGCTGATCTTTCATTTGGAGCAAAAGACTGAATTTGGATTGTTGCCCTGTGGAACAAAAAAATCAAACAAAAACAACTACTTTTACTCTCACTGATGGCGACCTAATCGATGCGAATAATTCGGATGAGCTGGATCTTTTGGATTATATGCACTAAAGCGAATCCATATCTAGGTGAGCGGGACGGAAGAGAAGAGGAAGAGTTGATTTCGCACTCGCACACTGGAGCGGGAATAAGTCTAGACAATGCTTCAGTGTGCCAGCTGTGAAAAACCTATTCTCGATAGGTTCTTGCTCAAAGTTTTGGACAGACCGTGGCACATCAAATGCGTCCAGTGCTGCGACTGCAAATGTAGTTTGACAGAGAAGTGTTTTTCTCGAGAAGGGAAACTGTATTGCAAGAATGATTTCTTTAGGTAAGAATTGACAGTGTTTGTGGTTTAGTATTTATAGAAAAGGTTTGGGTTTTTTTAGTCAGCTAAAAACAGGTTAAAAATGCATTCCAGTGGTTGCAACTAACCATCTGTTTTTATACAATGGACACGCCTGTCTGCTGTTATTTTATTTCCTCGTCTTATCTTTCTCTTCTCTCTTTTCGTATAATTCTCAGTTTTCTGTCTTCTTTGAAAGTGAAGCTAACCCTAACTGCTCGTGTGATTATTATGATGGAAAGTATCTTGCAATTGTACCTAATATTTGTGTTTAGCCTGTTTAGTTAGACAACTGCATTTTTACTTTCTGCTCAAATCTTACAGTTGTGAAAAACTGACTGTGGTAATTTCACTGACTACAACACACTAAGTTTCCGGTAGTTTGAATGGGGGGTTGTTTTGTAAAAACAACACAAACTTGTCAAAACTGGGCCTAAAGTCATAGCAGGTGTAAAGGTGTTCTCCTAGATTAAGACCAACATATCACGTCTGTGCCGAAACTTTTCCCTGACTTTGGTTCTCCCTCTTGAACAGGAAATTTGGAACCAAGTGCGCTGGATGCGCGCAGGGGATTTTACCCAGTGATCTAGTCCGCAGAGCCAAGAGCAAAGTGTTTCACCTGAACTGTTTCACCTGTGTGATGTGTAACAAACAGCTGTCCACCGGAGAGGAACTGTATATCCTGGACGAATTCAAGTTCGTTTGCAAAGAGGACTATGAAAACAACTCTGGGAAAGACACAATCCTCCTTTCAGGTGATTTATTATTATTATTATTATTATTATTATTATTATTATTATTATTATTATTATTATTATTATTATTTAGTGTAGGCTATTTTATTTATTTTTTTAAAAAGATTCCTGAGGTGCACCTTTCATAAATATTTAGCCTAGAGTAGTGGCATTTTCTGATTGTCTTATTCTGATTACAGTAACGACGTGCAGCGATCCAAGTCTGTCTCCGGACTCTCAGGACCCGCAGGACGACGGGAAGGAGTCAGAAAACGGGCATTTATCGGATAAAGACACGTGCAGCAACGAGAACGACGAGCAGAGCGCCGTCGGAAAACGACGCGGGCCTCGGACCACTATAAAAGCCAAGCAGCTGGAGACCCTGAAAGCGGCTTTTGCGGCCACACCGAAGCCCACCAGGCACATCAGAGAGCAGCTGTCAAGGGAGACGGGTCTTAACATGAGAGTCATCCAGGTAAAAGCAACAAATATAGAAAAAGAAAAAAAAAACCCAGATAACTATAAGTTTACTGTTTTTTTATTCATACACAGACTCACACAAAGTGACAGTAACACAATCACCAAGGCACTAGTGTTACAGAGAATAAAGCCTTTGATGTAGGCAACTCAACAAAGCAATGTGGCTGGTGGCGCTTGCAAGCACCCACGTACAATATATGCTCTGCTGATTTTCATTTTTTCCCCCCGCCTCTCATTTGGGGTTTTCCTTAATCTGTGCGCCCAGTGCGTCCCTAACATCACAGAGAACTCATGATGCCCATGGGCATTTTAAAAGGCCCCCTAATAATAATTAAAAAAATCGTGTCGCACGGATACATCTTGAATGCTAATTTAAAAATGCTATAAATTATATTTTTAGTGACCTAAAAAGTAAATTTTTGTGTCTTTTCTCATCAACTAAAACCTTACCCCAATTTACAAAGACCTCGTCATTATTTTGGGTTGATTTATTTCTAATCATCGTCTTCCAAATCATCCAACTGCAATTTGTCGCCCTTATTTCAAAAAGCTGTTGGCCACACTTCATAATTCATGCTCTTTGTTTTTGAACTGCTGTCTTAAAGGTTTGGTTCCAAAATCGGAGGTCCAAAGAGAGACGTATGAAACAGCTGAGCGCTCTAAGCGCTCGGAGACACGTGTTTTTCCGCAACCCGAGGAGAATGAGAGGCCTGGGAGAGAGAGTGGAACCAGGAGAGCTTGGACACTTTTCTTATTATGGAGGTGAGCTATATAAAATAATGATTAAGATTTAGTGTTTTAAGACTGTCACATCATAAACAAACAGATAAATAAGCAAATATGGTACAAAGTATCTATGCTTCTTCAGGTTGATGCATTAGCTGTAATCAATAAAATGAACCTTATACAATCTTATAATCAATGCTGTTTTTGACCAAATTGTAAAAATTCAAGATACATAAAAAAGCCACTACTATTCTTTCTTTAAATTCTGACACAATGCACTAATCCTTATGTTCATATGAGTGCAGAATATCCTGGTGAATACTATGGCTCAGGAGGGAATTATGAGTACTTTCAAGGCCCACCATTATCGCAAGCACAGACTCCAGCAGACCTGGGCTTTGTGCCCTCCACAGTCCCGGCTGGCACTCCACTAGGAGCCATAGACCACCATCATCCTGGGCACCACTGTCCCGGAGAGGTTCAGTGTTTCTCTGATACATTATCTCATCATCCCGTGGACTCACCAAGTCCGGAGCCCAATGGACCAAGTTCAATTCACAGCATCTCCAGTGAAATGTGTGGCCCCAGCACGCCCTTCACCACTGTTTCTCTCAGTGACAACGGATACACCAACCAGCTGTCACAGCCCTCTTCAGAAATGAGTGAAGGCACTGTTTGGTAATCAGGCTAAGACCGAAATACTACAAATGCAGTTTGAAGGCAAACCCTTAACTTTATTTCATATATCAGCTATTTATTTATAATTATTTATGAATATTTATTTATTTATTTATTTATTGTATTTCATTATGCTTTTTTTATTTTTATGTTGGTTATTTATTGACGGGCCACGTATTAGATAGTTTGGAATAATCTGTGTGAATTGGCTCGTTAATAGGTTCGCAGTGCTGGGCCTCACTGACTAAGCAATAAACAAATACATTAATACTGCTGAATCGTATTTTAGTGTTTACAAAACCTTTTCCGTCATGTACAGTACTGTGCAAAGGTTTTAAGCACATTTAATGCTTATATTCTTTATCCATTATACAAGAATATCAACTGGCCATAAGCCCATTCTGTATTCAGTTTTTTTGGCCCATGCTAGCTGGAATGGACAGTTAAGAAGATGGATGTATGGATGGACAAGGCAATGGATATCCCCAAACATTCACACAGAGTCATAAAGAACTTCAGTGACAAGAACTACAAGGAGTTCTGCAAGATGCTATGGCCCACAGAGATCCCTCGTCTCATTGTGCTGTATTTATATCAGTCTAAGATAGCAAGAAGCGATGGAAACAACTGAGACCAGCCTAAATGCAAAGAAGAATTGTGACCATACATTCAAAATGGCTGGGAGAAAGAAAAAAAAAGAGTACCCTGATAAGCAATGGTAAGTGCACCCATAAGAATCTGTGCTTTTTAAAGGAAAATGGTCATACTCAGTATTAATTTGAAACTTTTTTTCTGCTTAGTGCACTTTATGCAAAGTTAATTGATAAAATGTCAGATTTCAATGTCATTTCTAAAAACATTCACATTTTGATATGTTTAAAATTTGCACAGCACTGTATATGATGAAACTGACCTTAAAATTCAAATGTGAACTGTGTGATTGTATTTGTTTTATCACCTTTCAGTGTTTCAGCCAACTTACAAATTCCAAGTATGAGTTTGTGTGTAATATTCATGTTCATGTATTACACATGAACCACCCACTGGTTACAGATCATGAACGTGATACATCTGACCAAAAACATTTCTCAGGACTGCGGAAACATTGCATTGTTTTTTGTTTCGCTACACCTTTCTTATGAATAATTTGCTGTTTAGCATGTGTTTGCCTTCAAAGTATTGCCATTTTAATCTGAACATTTACATGAGTAGAAAATGATTTGACTGTGACATGATATGAGTCCAACCTGACAGTATGTATAATAATGGGCAATAATGGACGGAAGAGTCAATTGTTTATGTGACACTCAAGTGTTCAGAGGGTTGATTTTGAGTTGTTTTAAACATTTTCATTCTGGCATTAAATGAAATGCCAGAATGAAATAAATGAAATTAAATGGCAACCCATTTAATGCTACTATTTCACTATGCTATTTTGCATACCTCAAAAAAAACTGAAAACACAATAAACTGTTGCCAAATGAAAGGACATCGCAAACCCTGCCATTTCAGTTGTAAAAAAAACAAAAAACACCTCTAAAGACTTAAACGGCTTTTGTCTTTAAAATGTCAAATTATTTATAACGATAGTATTTCACTTTTCCACAGACGACTTTTTTTCCATGAGATACTTGACCTTTCTTATCCGGTTTGTGAAACAGGCATCACAATGCTGTATAATAAAAGTCCTATTGATGATTGTTATTTGTTTATCACTTTTGGGGGAAATGATGGGAATTCCTTTTTCAGTCTTTCCTGATTTTGTGAATGTTTATTGAACAGGGATTTGTTAACATGTATGTAATCTTTTGAGATTTTTAAATAGACCAAAAAGATTACCAGAGGGAATCCTTTTAGTGTACAAATGTGCATTTAAAATATTTTTGTTGTCCTTTAATAAACACACTCTTATGGAGTCTGATGAAGAAGCCAAAGTGTCAGCAACTGCTTAAAAACTGCTGCAAGATTAGAAATAAGTTCTAAATAACATCAGCAACAATGCATAACCGCTAAAAGAGTTCAGCTCAAAAGTACTTGTATATTTATAACAGACATTGTAAATTTGCTTAGCTTAATCTGTTACACTGATTATGAAGAGCTACTCATTGCCATAATTTACTGTTCTGCTAAATCGGGAAAATTATGACTAAGTGAAATTCTAGGAGGAAATACAAAACGTCTCTTTGAAACTTTACTATAGATTCACCAAAATCAGAGCTGTTGTGCTAATGTGTTTATAGCAACATTATCTAATTGGCATTGTCAATATATGAACATCTTCTTTCCCCCGGTTATGTTCAGTGAGCCTAAGCGACATTTCAAAGACACAATGTTTAAGTAGAAAGTTATCAACTCACATTACATACTGTATATATGTTGGTTTTTCCTTGTGTTATGCAAAGGAGCTTCATAAAATCTTTGGCACTTGTTACTTTGCTAGGTGTTTTCTTGATAATTCAAGAGCTGCAAGCACGTATTTGGATTCGCCGGCAATAAACAATGAGCCTTTCTCCAATGCCAGCTAAGTGAAATGTTGCAACATTAACAGGCTAACGACAGAGTGACTATTTTCAAGCCAGGGAAAGGTGAGAGCATCATAAAAGGGGACAGGACGCTGCATAGTGGATCAGTAAGCAGTGAAGCGGGAGACTGAAGGAGCAGATCAGTGGAGCTGATTGGGGGAGGGGTAGAGGAGACGAGCAATGTCACAAGGCATAAACTGCAGGAAAACATGTTTATAAGTTGAAGATTAGATTTGACAGTGGCTAACAAATGTCAACCTGATCACAAAATATTATAAAAAGACATATGAGAAAATGTGGAGCTGAAGCTGGAAAAGAGAGTTGCACAATTGTTAATATGGTTTGCATTAGACTGATGTGTTTGAAAAAAACAAGTTCAGTCTCCCTTTTGCGTTACAACTTTGCGAAATGTTACGCTGAATGTTAAAAGAGTGACATTCAGCGTCATTTCCCCCCAAAAATTCATAGCAGGCAACTTGTGCTTTTAAACACTATTAAAACGATGTGATAAAAACTATGGACTTTGACATAACTGGGCATGTTTTTTGCTTAACCAGACACATGTATATACCAGCTTATGATGATGAGCTTAACTTAAGCTGCTAAAAGAGCTAGATAACATCCTAATGTTCAATATTCATCTAGATTTTCTTATAAATACATGCAACTTGTCAAGGTTAGTATCAGTGTTGCCTGCTGCTAGTTGGTAAAGTTAATGCTAAATGGTATTTTCACTTATGCTTAACTTCCTATTCACCCATAACCCTTTATCAAGTGTAGAACCCCATGTAGTAACTTTATTTGCATCATAACAACGGAGAAAAAACCCCCAAAAGAGTAAAATGTTCATGTGATATCCTCTAATAACACTCAAATTTTGAATTATTCAGTGAAAATCCTATAAAAGATTGAAATTGTTCCAGTCATAACATTTTCTTTAGGTGAAGAAGTTTAGGACACTGATGAAGAGGCAGGTGGTAGCACAAACCTGAGCTCTTGACCTCTCCAGTAATATTAACTGGTGGCAGTGTTATGCTACTGGGGGTTTGTTTTCCTGGTGCTGTTTGAGTTTGTAAAGGGAATTCTCCCTCAGAATCAGCGATTGAATTGACAATGTTCCAGAGGGCAGTAGGGGCTGAAACATATGCTATCCCCAACTGAACACCTGTAGAAGATTGTGGCCCAGTGTACTGTTCACCAAACATTAAAAACACCAAATGAGAGAAGAATAGTGTTGTAGTAAGGATTCTGAGAGTGGCAGAAGCATTGCCAGGTGCACTGAAGCTGCTCTAGCCCAGCACCTTACCTTTAATTTGTTACCTGTCTGTAGAAATGTACAGCTACTTGATATAGAAATGTAATCCTCAGCAGATAATGCTGCAGTGTGAGGGCTCTGAGATGCAATCCAGAGTTTATTTATGTCATTTAAATGTGCTCTCGTGTCATTTCAGCTTAGCATGAGAGATAGTACTGCTGTTCTTGCTGGCCTGCTCTGCTCTCCCTCGTACTGTGTGTGCAAGAAATTCTAATCATGATGGTGAACTTAACATCAGTTGGCCATTCAGTGTAATTTGGTAGAAAGTTTACCACTTAAAGCATGTCTGAAAATGCCCCTAATACACAATATTATATTTTTTGCTAATATTGATCTTTGAATTCTGCTAATTAACTGAAATTTACAACATTTACACGTTCCCGTTTGCTGTAGCAGATAATGTTATGCTGGAAACGTAATCCCTATAATCTCAACAAAATACCTTGATGAAGAGAAAGATTTGCAAGTCAAACGTGAAACCAGCAAATCAATTTAAATCTCGCTGACAATGAGAGAGAGAGAGAGAGAGAGGGTGGGGGGGGGAATAAGACTTAATTGACCTCTAAGCATTGATTTGTGCACTTACCTACCAATTTAACTGCTTTCATAAGTGTCCTGAAAAAAATAGCAAACCAAGCAAGCAATCATGGAACCTGGTGTCCAGGAAATCTGAACTGTATTTTATATATCGGGTATGTTTTATGCACAAAAGAGCTGATGGCTAATTAGCTGCCTACCGCTGACTGGATGGACTGTTTGACTCCTATTATGCCCTGACACTTGAGCTGGGTATCAGCAGCTTGGTTAGATGCCTGCAGCTATAGTATCTTTATTGTTCTTCACAAGACTAGACAATGTTCTTAGACATAATTTGTTGGACCAATTACCAAAAGTTTTTTTTTAGTCTCTTCTCAAGGAGCATAATACAGTCACCCATGAAGACTTAGCGTGAACAAATATAACTATCTTACGTCCTGTGTATCAAAATTTAAACACCTGAAAACCGAGAAAAGAAAAGAAAAACCCAAAACAATAAGATAAATGCTACCATGTACTAATAATCTACTGCAATTTGAGATGAATCCTTCTGGTCCTTATTTGATTTGAACTTAAATTTAGTATTTTTCTCATTGCTGTTCTTTTTAGCCCCTTTCTCAATCTAGCCCAATTCACAAATTTGACTCTTTCTTCACTTTATGCTTGAGGC